CATACCCATACCAAATTCCTCCTAACACAGACTTGCCTCTCATCTGAGTTGTCCATGCTGGGAGAGATGCGTTTTTCCTGCAGTATTGCAGAAGCATCTTAAGTGCTATTTTATACCTGAAAGAAAGAAATAACTGAACTTTCATTAATACTTGATAGGGGGAGCATGAAAGCAATGTTCCTTGCAGTGCTGAAAAGGCCATGCTAGTATTCCAGGTCTCACCTGGAATCTAGAGTTCCTAATGGCTCAGCCCGCCTGGACAGGTTCACAGCCACCCAGCCCATCATTTTAATGCAAAACTCTCTTTTCCTTCCTTATCTCTTTCTTTACCACACCAGCTATTCAAAGAGGGAGGAAGTTCAGGATCACAGAAAGGTCAACCATGGGAATACAAGGTTTGATCCTGCAAACTCCAAATGGAGCTCTTGTGTTGGCAGGATCAGTGCTGCGAATAATGTTGTATCACTGTAGAAACAGTCTGTTTCATGACCTGTCAGGGGTTTTTTATCCTTTATAAAATGTCAAACTGAAGATGTTTAATAGGCATGGAAATACAGCAATCTGAATAGTGAATTACCAGTACTTTAAAGCAGCATTACTCTCACAAGAACATGTTCAGCATCTTTCCGTACCATGTTGCCATCGGGTGAGTAGCACAAGCTAGTAAAATAATCCTAAAGAGCTCCTTGAAGACTACACTAGGTAATTTCACAGGAAATTACTAACAAAGGGAATGGAACAAGCATGCTAAAATACCAAAATACTTCTTCCAGGCTAAGATCCACAACAAAACCAAGCTTTTCTTATTAAACTTTTTATTAAAATGAAGCTATTTTCACATTTTTAAAATACTTTATATCCAAATTATGCAATATTTATGAAAACAATTGTATGCAAACACTTGCATAAAAATATGTAAAATCACAGCTAAGCAATATAAAGCAATATATAGCATATTCCAAAATGTACTTCAGGACTAGAATACCTGAGTTTTAATAAGCTGGTTTCACTGATTCTTAACAGTTAAATTTAATGATGTATTTTATCTTGTATAAAGCACTTTGGTTGGGAAACACTGCATGGACTATGCAGAGGTTGAGCAGAGATATTACTCAAGGTCGATCTTCAGAATCTTCTTCCATATGAAGCTCCACTGTTTGAGATGCTAGGAAGGACTCCCATGTAGCAAGGCACTTAAAAAAAACAAAAGACAACACAAATACACATGAATATAGCAGATGGATAGATTCCTGTCAACCTGGTAGCCAAGGAGAAGAAAAAAGCAGAATACATCCACATTGTCCCAAGCTGCTTTTGTGGGGCTATGGTAAGAGCAAAATATGGTTTCCTAGGAAGCTCAGTGATGTGCAGAATGTTAGCCAACAAGCCAAGTGAGCTGTAAAGGTCACTTCTTTTACATAATGACAAGAGCACAGTGTGAGTATTGCAATGGTATGTGTTAGCATGGAAGATGCTAACATTAATTACATTCTTCTTTCATCTCCCCCTTTAGTTAAAAGATCTCTACCAAATAGGAAGCACACTGTCAGGTACAGTTCCCTTGTAATCCTTGTGGCTTCCTACTGTATACCTAATTTTACTTCCAACTTAAATGAACGGGTTATATTCTACACACACCAAAAAATCTTTTTGCCCCTGAGTAATAGGAAAGAAATGGGACCAGAAAGGCAGGAGCTGAGGAAATTGTCATCCTTACAACAAGTGGCATTTCTCTCCTCATGGCAAAATGTATTTAAAATTGTACAAACTACGTTTTTCATTTGAAACAGGTTCTTTTTTTCAGTAGCATCATAGCAATAGAATGATTGCATGAATTTGCCTGCCCTGTTTTAATCATAGAATCATAGAATGGTTTGGGTTGGAAAGGGTCTTAAAGCTCATCCAGTTCCAACTTACTCCTCCAGTCTTCTTCTGATCTGGCTGACAAAATCCCCAACTAACTTCTGCTGCTTGAGCACACAACGTTGTGCTGCTGTTCAGAGCACATGTATGGTTCAAATTACTGTGAAAAGAGAAGACCAACAGGCTAAGAAAGAGTTGTGTGGAAATCTATGTCTTCACTGACTTTTTTTGAGAAGTGTTATTTTGACATGGTAAATCAGGGAGAAACAGTGAAAACAGCACTAGCACGACCTGCAAGTGCTGCAAACTGATTTCTGGCTTAAAAGGTCTTTTTGACCTTTTGTATAAAGCCTTAAAGGTTTGATCAACAGCTTCCCCCTACTTCATGTGACACAGTGGCAGGCAAGTCTATCTGAGATGCCTGAGCTGGAAGGTGGCATCTTGTTTTTAAAATGTCAACAGCTGCTAGCGCTGTGTCTTCACTGTGGTGCTTGGACTCTGATTTCTGCCTTATTGAGCTCAGCGCAGATTACCATCCTAGTCAGCTGCAAGGCACATCTGTTTTCATAGGCTCTTTCTAGGTGTGGGACAAGAAATGATCACTCTTTCTTGAAAAGTCTTTTGTTGCCAATGGCTGACTTTTGCTTTTCCTGAACAAGAGTTTAATTTCTAGCCTGTAACTCCATGGTTTGTCATTCTGTGATTTCAGCCATGTGAATTAAAATACATGTATCAGCACTGGCTGGAATGCGAAAATGACTTTCTGTTATCTTTGCAATGCTGAGCCACCAAACTGCACATCTTCAAATGCAATCCCAGGATGTTCATTACCCAGACTGATACATTCTCCTGAAGTCTTTGCAGACAAAAGATGCAAAACATTTTCAGTTACACAAGTTATTCAGCTTTTAATTCATCCTCCTTTATATAACCAAAACATATTTCCCAAACTGTAAGAGCAATGGTGGCTCATTTCACTGTCAGACATCACAGCTGACAAGCTTTATAATTAACCACACCAACCCAAAACTAGGTCTCTGTGCCTTAGGCTCAAATTTTTCTACTATGAAGCATGAGCTGCATAAACAACATTTGTTAGTGATGGATATTTCAACATTATTATGGAATGACCGTACTTCATTTTCCTGGAAGTTGGAAAACTGAGATGGAACTAGAGGATCAGCCAGCTTTCACAAAGGAGACAGAAAAGGGAAGAAAAAAGAAAACCAAACCTAGGAAATTCAATGAGGATTGAAATTCATAATCCAATTACTTGTGAAAGCCTGGTGGAAGGCATAAAAAAGCCTAAATACACAAAATGAAATAGGAAAAAGCTAAATAAGCCTACTTTACCTAAAATGCTCTGATTACTACTGCAGGTCATACATTGATTCTGAAACATCAACAGCAAAAAGGTTTTCATATCTAGTACAACTGCACAGCTAAGTAAAAAAGAGATCTAAAACTAGAGTCTATGGTAGGGATAACAGCAGAAGCAGTGTGTCACGTGCCATGTGTGTTTCTGTCCCAGTTGCCTCTTCTCCAAGGTTGAAACCTTAAAAATACCTTTTCTGGTGGCATTTTCTGCAGTAAAATCTGAAAATAAAATCTTATGTGTGCCTGAGAAAGTGACCAAAAATACTGTCATAGTCCTGGGTGCATGGAAACAAAAACCGGAGTTCACAGAAACAGTGATTCCAACTGCAAGGAAAAACATCTTCCTCGAAGTATTTAAAAGAAATGTTTATGGTTGACAAGAGTAAGGGTTCAAGGATGGATAATGGCTTTGAAGTGACAGTTACAAATGGGCTCAGCCATGTGGAAGCTTTGGGAAATCACATGAAGTTTGTTAGCTAAAATCCCAGGCACTGTTAAGGTAGGATGTAATCAACATGCATGAGCAGCTAACTTTTTGCTATGCAACCAAATTACTAGTTAAATGCATCACTACAGAGGCCTCTAGGGCAAGCAACAAATCTCATCTATTTTTCTACAGCTTTTACTAGCTAGAGAGGCACAGGAGGGCTTTGGATTGCAAAGGAAGTTGTTGTAATGGGGAAGGAGTATTGCTTTGCCCCAGTGACTCTTTTGGCTCAATTTATGCCTGTACAACAATGTAGGTCACAGAAATAAACTTGAAATAGTTAAGAAAATGAGGAAATGATTTCCATTTTGGGGAAAAGAGAAAGTTGTGTCATTACTAACAAGAATCTCACTATAGCAAAGATGACTGTAGCTTTTGATTTGATTAAGCTGCAAAGATTATAACAGGATTAGTTTGACATGAGAAAATCAGAGCCTATGCTGTAAAAAAAAAAGGCTCATCCATGCACAAGAGAAAAGCATGTTCTTTCCATGCCAAAACTAATTAAACATCATCCTACATTATGACAAAAACCCAGTCTTCCTGCATTTACTACAGTGCCTCATGAGCCGTGGAAAACCAAACTCTAGTATATTTGCTGGATTTAGAATGTTTAACTAATCTTTGGATTGGGCTGAAAAATCTCACTACTTCTTGTTCTGGTGTTTGTTCTGGAGAGAATAGGTTAACAAAGATCCTTGCTGAGAAACATGTAAAGTGTTTGTCTTTGCTGCTGTAAATATCCTCAAGATGATAGTAAACACATGAGAAAAGCAAAAGGAAAAATGTAGCAAATGTTTAATTTCCATTGCTCTTTGAAGCCACAGTTCAGCATTGCCTGGTTTGGTTTTGCTCATTTGTGCCAGGAATGCTTTAAACCTGCTGGCTAAATAATACCACCACCAGCACTAACTTTAGATCTTGGTTTGGTTTTAGTCTGCAGAGCATCTGTACCTAACTTAATGAAAATACTCCTGGTGACAGTCATCTTTCTCAGCTGTAAACTCCACTCTGAGAACAGTCTGTGATTTCAACTGTGTGGCAGACACCTTGTCTGTGCTAAGGTGTGCTACTGCAGACAATAGCATCACACCTAAGGCATGGGGAAAAGGAATAAAATAAAGGGTAGGGTGTTAACACATGCTTCATTCAAGCATTTTTCTCTGTAAGACTAAAGAATCACTGCTATTTACTTCAGAAATCAGGTTCTGAATTTTGAAATCTTGTTTCAGACACCACCCCCCCCCCCCCCCCCCCCATTTTTGCAGTGCATTTACAGTCATTATTAATACAGCATATTACTGGCTTTAAGCCTTTGTGGAATACAGAGAGACTTAAGTGTGTGTTCAACTGTTTTCCAGAAGCAAAGAAAAGGAAGTAGAGAACCGTATGAACTTTTGAGACCAGCTACAGGAATACCAAATACTCGGTCTTGGTAATTCCTGGCTACTAAATTACAGGGGGGTTGGAACTAGATGATCTTAAGGTTTTTTCCAACCCTAACTATTCTATGATTCTATGGTTATATTTAAATATTTAAATAAAATTCTAAGATAGCTTGCACATTATCACAGCAAAACCTTCACTCTCATAACCCTGTACATATGCAACATGGGGCTTTAGTTATCTTTGTTGCCACAGCTTTGAGTGACACAAAGAGACTGGTGTAGAATCAAAGGAACACTTCTTATTCAAGTACATTAAATTCAGGTAGTCAATAAAGTGGAAAGCAACAGAAATACCTCTACTTGTTTTGAATGAATAAATCTGGAGAGCACTTCATGTAACATGACCATCAATTCAGATTAAGGGAGACATTCTCTTTCATGTGATGAGACATACTCTTTTAAGTACATCTTTCAAGTGATGATTGACAGATTGACAGCAGAACCCTCAGACAACTACAAATAAGGAAAGATCCAAACAAATGTAAGGTCATACCTTTCCTCATATTGTGACAGACAAAATAACGTTTTAGATGTTCTAGTGCACTAGTGCACTTTGATGCACGTCAATGTTGGACTTGATCACACTAGTGTTTGTTAGTTTCATATACTCTTGAAGGACTGGATTCTCTACTGCAAAATCCACCAGAAAACATGACATGTCTCTCATTACTCTGTAGATCTCAGCAATGTAAGTGATGCAGAGAATGGCCACCAACATGAATTTGTTGTGTGCATGGAAAATGAAGTCAGCAAGACTGGGGAAAAACAAAGCACTGTGAAATGTTGACATAGAGAATAACATGCAACCGGCAAGAATGGGACTTTAACTGGAGGGGGAGGAAGCTGTGGAAAGGAGGAGAAGCACGTACTGACTAAATCAGAAAGAGATGATATTTCACAGGAGATGAACAGAAGAGCTGGGCATGAATCCTATCCATAGCATCCATGGCCTAGGAGCATGCAGAGATCATACTTGGAGGGGGGGGAAGCAGGAAATAAGACTGAGGGATGCTGCAGCAAGGGAAAGTCTAGTAAGCACCAAATGGTGCATCAAAAGCAAAGGATCACTTCTTATTCAAGTACATTAAATTCACGTAGTCAGTAAACTGGAAGGCTACAGCAATACCTCTACTTGTTTCCAATGACTAAATCTGGAGAAATACAATTACAGGTAACACTTGAAAGTGGTTTAATTTTGGACATGTGAGAGCTAAACCAGTTTGTGACATAATGAGAGTAATTTAATGTACAGGATGAGCTTTGCTATTCTGAATTAAAAGTCTAATCAGCAAAAAAGCATTTCTAGACAGGAAAGAGAAATAAATTATTATTTTGGGGGTTTAATTTAGCAAATTGTTCATTAAGAAAATATTCCAATCCACTCAGCATCATTTTTACACACATATTGCTGAGACAGAAGTCAGAGATCATCAATAACTGAAGAAAATGTGAAAGGATGCCAAAAGCTTGCTGCCTGATTTCAGGAGATATTTTGATTTTAATATGGAACAACAGCTTGTCGATGTCCATGCATCTCATAGACTGGATGTTAATTAATTAGATTATGATCAAGAGCTCTGTCTTTTCAATTATGTTTTAACAAAGTGATTTGTAAAATCAGGACACTGTCGCCATAAAAAGTTCAGCGTACAGGACTGGAAATCACAGCTAGCCACACAGATCTGTGAAATCATTGATTTATGGTTAATAGATGGCTTATATGTTGCAATTCTTTTCTCAAAAGAAGTAGAAATTATTTAAATCATTTCAAGACATCTGGGATGTCTTCAAAATGTGCTCTTCAATCAACAGCGTGTTCCTCAGGAAGAAACCTCACAGAATGCTTAACATATTTGGTTATATGTTTTCAAGTTCTCTGTCTCAGTACACATCCTTGTAAAAGGGAATTCTCACCAAGAATATTATCTGTGGCATTTGATATGAAAATAAGAATCTAATTTCAACCACTTTTCTTCCTTTCTGAAGGAGTAAGTTTCCATTATAAAGAGATTTGATTTATTCACTTTACATACTTGCAGCATTTGTATTTTTTAAGCTTTTCATATTAACTTCTAAAAATTATATTCCTAAAGTCTGATTATTTCACGAAAGGCAATTCCTTTAGAAAAATAATAAGGACTTCCTGAATGTGCTGTCTGAAATGGAATCACATTTCAATGTTTTCCTCATATATTTAACAGAAGTTTCAGTATTCCAGAGGCCTTCTTCATGCAGTTACAGCAAAGGATTTCCAAACTGAACTATAGCAGCCGACACTGAACCACAAAATATGGTCCAAATTATGTGGTTAAATGGTTAGTAAAACTAGAGTGCCCTCTGTCGATGATGAACTCAGGATCAAGCACTTGGGAAAAAATGAAACGTATATGGCTTGAAACATGTCCAGTTAAGGATAACTGCCTCCCTCTTCCCACAAAAACTCATCCTGAACTTAACACAGATCTGGACTAAAATGCAAAAATTTGTCTTTACAGACAATCCGTGGACTTCTCCACTGAAATAATCTATGAAAGAATAACGCTGCTATTGTGAAAGTGGTTTTACCTCTTCATAATAACGGAGGTTATTCTCAGCCACATTAGTGAAAGTTGATCTCATGTCACACTGCATATTTTGCTTCCACCTGTCCCAGTCTGCTTTCAGGGCATTATTGGCACATTCGACTTTGTCTTCAAGTTTCCCAATCTCTTCTGAGAACTAAATATGAATTGTAAACATAAAAAATATTAGTAAAGGCATGATTTCAAAGGGATTGAAATCAAGTGTTTGTAGTGCAAGGAAAGAGAAATGCAGAAACGAGGCTGGTGTTTAACCTAGCACAGAAAATCATGCCCCAAGAGAAAATGTAAGTTTTATTCTTAATGAATAACTTGGGAAAAAGTCTGAGATATTAACAATAGAAATTCTAGAGCAGAAGTAAAGTGATGCTGAAGATATTTGTATTGACTGAGAAGTTAACAGACTCTAGCACCTCTTCACTAGCACTTGACAGTAATGCATCTAAAAAAGAAAACGCCAAATCAACTATGCAGAGTAGATTTTGCCAGAAAACTGAGGAAAACCTGATAGAACATTTGAGAACCTCAGGAGAAAACAGAAGGGGGAGAAGACAGTAGAAATCAAAAGCACAAACTGCCTGATTTCTTGCCTGTCACACTGCTGTCTTTTCCTGTGGAACTAATGTCTGTGTGACCATATGAGAGACATGCAGAAACAGAGAAAGAAAGTAAACCAAAGGACTTCTGCAGAGAAGAAACTCTTCTACAGTGATCCAGGCCCAAAACCTTGAGAGCTACTCTACAGCCATCATTTGCTTCTACTCACTGTACACACACAAAGTGACTTTTCAGCTAATGGGAATGAGGAAGTAGATGGAGCTGAAAAGCCCAAGTTCAATTATCTAGCCAGATCAGTAATTAAACTATGGACACAGGTAATTTCAACTGCCAACACTGTATTCAATATGAAAAGGTTAATCTAAAGTTTAAGTGTGGGGAAATCACCTTTAAAGGAATTATAGGCAGCTGGATTTGGTATTTTGGGCACGTCTCATGTTAATTGCATTTCCTTGAAATACCAAAACTAAATGCACACAGAATACTGAAAACAGTGAATATTTTCAGATGATTTGGTGTAGGAAAGGCAGCTGAATCCATATTCTGCTTTTACAAGAAAAAAAGCCTCTGTATGGCAATGAGTTAGGCTGCACACATAAAGAACCTTTCTGACTTCGAACTCTTGGTTGTGGCAGCTTCCTCTTATCTCATTCTTCATATCTTTGAGACTTTTTTTTACAGGGTGTTTTTGTCTTGCCTTTTCTAGGAACTTTGAATTTCTTCCACAGTGTAGTCACAACATGATGTGGAGAAGCAGACTCTGTTCTCCATTCCTGCCTGGATACGCTGTTTAAACATCACCCTCTACAACCCAAAAGAAATTGTGTGCTCTATCAAGGTAAGAGTTGGACTTAAGGTCTAAAGACAGCATTACACCACGCTTCTTCATCTGAAGTAGAGAGGTTTAAGGTCTACTTTTCACAGCTGATAACATAAATGCCACCCTCTTCAGCTGCCATGACAGCAGAAACCAAAGAAGAATGGCTTGGTCCAACAAAACCATCTACCTAATGTGTTCCTCATTTACACAACTTATCCTGCAAATTAAATAAGATTCTGAATCAGTTTTCTTACACTGATCTCACTGAAGCAGCTAGTAGGATAAATTAAATCTATCAGTGAAACACAGGATAGTGCTCATCAGACCTCAGACGATGGGACAGGAACTGGGAACCAGGCACTGCTAGGGCAGAACACAACCAGATGTGAACCTGTAGCCAAAGAGAATTGACCTAATAGCCAAATTACCTGGTAAGTGACACAGCATTTTACAGTCACACTATGCAAAACAGCACAAATTCCTATCTGCTCTGTGAATTAATCCTACAGCTTGGTGATACTAATCCTTCTTAGCCTAGAGTTGGTGCCCAGCACCAGGATCTAAACTTCCTCTGTTTAAGTTTGAATCCATTACCCCTAGTCCTATCACTACACTCCCTGATGAAGAGTCCCTCTCCAGCATCCTTGTAGGCCTATGCTTGGTGAGTCTATGATTCTGTGAGTTAAAGCATAAGATATATTCAGAATGTGATAAATTCAGCAATTCATCTCTTTACTACTCAGTTTCAATCCTGAACACAAAAATCCTCAAGTTAGCATTTAATGCTCATCTGTCTCTGTCAGAGCACATTATACCAACCTCTTGTCAGAAGCACTAGTGGCAGTACCAAAACTGTTAAAAAAAACAAGCCACAAAGGGATGCTCTAGCATTGCTGTTTATGCTTTCAGAATGGAGTGTGGGAGTGAAAAGAGCCACAAACTCCCAACATCTTTTCAGCCTGGAGGGAAGAAAGGTCTAGATAAGCAAAGTCCTCCCAGATACCTCTGTCAGAGCCTGCATCCAAACTCACAGTTTTCAAACCTTCCATACTGTGAACAACTGCCTTCTTCATGGACTAACTTTTGGAGAGGGAGACAAGGTTCTGGCTTTTTAGCAGCACCACCAGCAACTTTGTAAAAGCCCAGTAGCAGAAGCACAACTCAAGAAAACAGTTTTTCTCAGCCAATGAACCTGACATCTCCTGAAGTTTGATTTGTGATTCCAGCCTCTTTCAGCTGCACTGACCTTGGAGATATTTTGCATTCTCCTGCTGTATAACCTCCTGTTGGTTAAATCATCTAATGGTTGTCATGACTAATGCTAAAGATCTTGCAGGCTTTTATCAGCTATAATGACAGTCTGAGATTCCTTATCTATGGTGGAAATACGCTCAAATGAGATTAGAGTTCATGCCACTCGTCAGCAGAATTTCTGGCTACTAAATTGCACTGACAAGTTCAATCTGACATCTATAAGATCATTAGAAGCTACATAAGTTCTGCTTAGGAATAGACTTGTGAAAATACAGCCAAACTCAGTGTTTGACACCAATTCCAATGACACTAACATGTAGTATGACCACCTTTGGTTCTAAAATCAGTCTGGTTTGAAATGTGAGCAGAATATTTCAACATATATATATAGTACAAATTATTACACTAAAAAAACAGATGAAGAAAGTGATTACAAGTTACTTGAATGGTTAAAAATAGCAGTGGCCAAACTAAAATTCATAGAAAAAGCCTTCAACTTCCAATGAAGAAGTAGTCTTCAGGGTACACCTGCCACTCCATTGGATAACACAGGGGTTTATGATCAGATTAGACAGACAGAAATCTGTTCTACTGCTCTTGTGAGACTGAAGGGAGAATCAGGCTCTGCAAAAAGAGGGTTTTGAACTGAGTAAGAAATAAGAGGAGTTGGAAAGATAAAGCCAAGATCTGAACACCTGGCTAATCCCAATGTCCAAAACACCTGGATAATCCCAGTGGCCAAAGGCTTTTACCAAAACTGTAAACATGGCTTTGGAAACACAGAAACAGTGAAAACAAACAAGATCTCCAAATTTTACTGGAAGCAAGTACAAATACCTCCTTACAGAGTAAGCACTGTTGAGATGAACTCAACATGGTATGATCAATACTATGCTAAGGAAAAATACTCCTTTTTGTCTGTACCAGTTCAGGAAGAGAGGGTGCATGTGCCTTGTCTGAGGACTCATCAGATCTGCATCAGAAATACGTTCTGAAAAGACCACATGCTGCCAGGCAATACTCTATGAAACCACAGGACAGCAGAAGATATAAGAGAACAGAATTTCTACTTCAGGAAAAAACAAACCTAGAGGTATTTACTTACTGTCCTACTGCAGGACAGAAAGGCAAATTGGTACAAAATATGCTATAGCCATCGTAGAGCTCAGACAGTGCTAATATAACTGAATTATTCAGCTCAGTGACAAGAAATCACAGAAAAATATGCATTTCAAGTGCCAAACCCCATCTAAACAGCTCATCTTTACATGAAAGCTGATTACAACAACCCTAATTAAAAGTACCTGAAATGTCAAGGACTTTTTCCTTTGATGTACTAAAAAGTTATTAGTCATTTTTATGTATTCTGTGTAACACTTTGTGATAACACTGCGCTAAAAGAACACTATTTGGGCTGGAGAGTTATACAAGAATTTTAAAAATGTCAATATCCATCCTTGGAGCAGCAGCTCCAAGAGCACTGCAGCAAATCCTCCTTTCCTTTATCTCCCAGTGTGGAAGTAAAGAGAAGTGCCAATATTAAGCTATGGTACAGACTGGGTTAACAAAACAAGAGTGGTCACCCACTGTTTGCTTTTTCTTTGCTTCAGTGTCCTATCTTCTGAAGCTGTGCCTCTTTCTCATGATTGCCTTTACAGGACACGCATAGCTACGAAGACCAAGTAATTTTAAGGATCAGAATTACAGATTATGCAGTTATAAAGCATGGCTTCAGAGGACAAATGTATGCTGGGCTGCACCCAAAGAAGCATGGCCAGCAGGTCAAGGGAGGTGATTCTACCCATCTACTCTGCTCCTGTGAGACCCTACATGGAGTACTGTGTTCAGTACTCATAAGGACAAGGAGCTGTTGGAGCAGAGTCAAAAGGAGGACCACAATGATGTTCTGAGGGTTGGAGCACCTCTCCTGTGGAGACAGGCTGAGAGAGCTGGGCTTGTTCAGCCTGGAGAAGGGAAGGATCCTTAAAGGGAGACCTCAGAGCATCTCCCAGTGCCTAAAGGGGCTACAAGAAACCTGGAGAGGGGCTTTGGACAGGGACCCGTAGGGACAGGACAAGGGCATTGGCTTCAACCTGGGAGACCGAGATGAGATCTTAGGCAGAAGTTTCTCCCTGTGAGGGTGCTGAGGCACTGGCACAGGGTGCCCAGAAGTAAAAGCCATCCCTGGCAGTGTTCAAGGCCAGGTTGGACAGGGCTTGGAGCAATCTGCTCTAGTGGAAGGTGCCCCTGCCCATGCCAGGGGGTTGGAACTGGATGCTCTTTCAGGTCCATTGCAACCAAAACCATTCTATGATTCCATGACATGCTTTCCTCAGGGGATCATCTTTTACAGTTAGAATAAGGCCTGGAAAATTTCAACTTTCTGTACATACTCACCAGATCCTTTTCTGCCTTTTTACTGGCATCAACTTTGGAGTCGAGCTCAGCTTGAATTTGGTCTCTCCTTTTCAAAACACCCTTCATAGAGAGAAAGAGAAAGAAAGAAAGTAGTAAACTTCACCAAATTTTAGCCATCTGTACAGAAAACCATCAAACAACTTGGCTATTTAAGAAATGAACCAAGATCACAGAATGATGCCATTTAGTATTTTGGACATGATACATGTATTTTCTAGGAAAAAACCCTTAAAATCATGAACTTACTTTTCAATACCTGTATTTTATTTATCTTACGTGTTTTTCAAGAATCTTGGTAAATCCCAAATCAGTGCCACAAGAATCTGCCATACATAGTGTCACTGTATGCCTGTATGCGAAAATCTACAACATCAGCTTACTTAGTATCAGCTCAACTTAGTATAGATTTAGATTTGAAACCAGCAACATGAGTTTGCCCAATCTCAGGAACAAAAGTATCTTCTTTGAGAAAAAAGTTACAGTATAGAGTAGAAAAAATGACTAAAAATGATATTCCTGCAATTGTGAGTTTAACCTTCAATATTATTTTGTAAGTGCCAAAAGTAGTTCAGAAGAATCAGATGAAATTATAATGAAAATGAGAGATGTGCTAACACTGGTATGTGTGCTTATTTTCAGGGTATGTAACTATTACCTCCTTTAAAACTGTCTTAGTAGATATTGGCTTTTTAGCATAATGTTAAAAATAGTTAGAAAGGGGAAGGAATGTTATTTGAACTACAAAACAGGAATGGTATTATGATTAGATTTCCATTTCCAATGCTCACTTGCTCTGTGACCTTGATGAAGCCTTAGTTTCCTCATCTGGAAAAGCATACTCAGGTGTGCTTATCTTGCAGAAATGTTACAAGGCTTTCATCCTCTTTAAAAAGAAAAGAAGTCAGAAGCAGATATAGAATATAAATCTCAAACCCTTCTTTTACATCACCTTGCCACAACTGGTTTTACTGCTTCTTCTGCATATACTGAAGAGATTCTGTGAATTCACCTCTAGCAGAGGGCATGTTGAAATAGCAGAGGGCACAAGCAGCTCTACCTTCTCTAGCTGTCTTATCTGACTGAGTTCGCTTTGAAATCTTGTCACTTTAACAAACACAACAGAAGAATTTAGGAGGTTAATTCTCAAATAACTTTTCAACAGGTACTCACTAGAAAAATATTGGTGAACCTGAATGGACAAATGTGAGTAGTAACAGATTAGCAATATACACTAATGCTCATCAATCTATATCTTTATAGCTCAGGGTATCTTTTGGTTAGATAAACAGAGAAAACATTTAGCAAAATGAGTATGTTTGGAAAAGCTGTCCTTAAAAATGCTTTTTCTATTTCTTTTGCCTCTTTTAAAACTCTTTTAATGATTATTTGGCAACTTTTACCACAAATAGTCCTTAAATTACAAGATAAACCCAATTACTTTAATATTAATGTGCTACAACTGCAGACAAGTGCTGACTTCTAATGGCAAAGAAAGGGACTTTTTAAAGTTTTTAAAGCATATTATTATACTTGTACAATGTTTTTTGTGTAATATTTTATGGTACCCTGCCATAAAACCCTCAAATAATGATACGTGGACCCATAACCGATTTAATGCTGCAGTTTGTACCCTGAGGCACAGCAGGACTCTGCACTCCCCAGATTTGTTCTGTTAGTCACTTAGGAAGGAGCCAATCCAGATGTATATATTTTAGCTATGAATTCATTGCTTTCCTCAGATTCAGGCTGAGCTTCCAAACCTGGAAAATACAAGGATTGTACTGTATCCACCACACCTTCTCCTGCTCATCTCCCCATGATCCTAGCAGCAGAGCACAAAGGTCCCTGTGATGAGGGGCTAAACACACGTCTGAAAGCAGGTTTTACTAGTGTGTGACTTCCCTTCTTGTATTTTTAGTGTGAGTAGAAGTTTGCCCACTCCCAACTGCAAGAGGGAAGCAAGCTGTAGGAAAACAAAAAATCCATTGTAAATGAAGGGAAAGAAACAGTTGTAGAACAGGAATGAGCAAGTGAAGGAAGATTTTCTTCTGGACAGAACTACACGGCAGCCTAATCCTGTGTTGCAAATGTTGAATGAAGAACACTGTAAGCAGAAAGAAACAAGGTCATGGGCAACAGCTGTTTGTAATATGCATAAAGAGCCAGGTAGTCACTCTGGGGCTTGTCCACAGGAACCTCTCTGTGCTCTGGACAAAAGAGAATATCTGAGAATCAGAATCACAATCACAGAATGGTTTTGGTTGGAAAGAACCTTAAGATCATCCAGTTGCAACCCTTGCCACGGGCAGGGGCACCTCACACTAGAGCAGGCTGCTCCAAGCCCCTGTCTCCAACCTGGCCTTGAACACTGCAGCAGATGGGGCAACCACAGCTTCTCTGGGCACCCTGTGCCAGCCCTCAGCACCCTCACAGGGAAGAACTTCTGCCTTAGATCTAACCTGAACTTCCCCTGTTTCACTTTGAACCCATCAACCCTTGTCCTATCACTACGTAATCCCTAATGAAGAGGCCCTCTCCAGCATCCTTGTAGGCCCCCTTCAGATACTGGAAAATAGAAAAGAGTGATATTCAAAAGTAAAATTCCAGATACTGGAAAAAGAGAAAGGGTGATGCACAGTAGAAGGCAATGGGCAGGCAGCATCTCCTCAATAGCATGAAGGCTAGGAATGCTCATGGGTAACAGAAAATGTGAAGTCTGTAAGGGGGCGGGGCAGAGGAATAAGACCTGCAATTGGTAGGAATCAATTCAGAGCTTTAAGCAAAGCAGTTCCTACCCCCATTTACCTGCATGTCCCTGCGGGCATTGCAGCAATAATTCTTAAGCCTTACTGAGAAACTGGCAATGCTCTGTTCAGTGCCAGGAAAGGCTCAGTTAACTTGGGTCTTGCTCTACCCATGGCCTATAACACACTCTCAGCTCCTACTCAGAAACCACTGCAGCAGCAGCTGGGTTCCCAGCAGTAAGGCAAGAACAGATCCTGCAGCTTGCATTGCTCAAAACCTAGACAAAGAGGGGTTTGTACGCATTTTTTGCTTCCTGGAGGCAGCGGAGTAGGAATTATATGCTGAATTCAGTTACTTAATCATGTTGATTATCCATCAGCACTGACTTTGTCAACTCTGTAGTGAGATTTTTTCCATTCTCTCCGAGTGTAAGAAAAACGCATACATAAAGGAAACTGAAAGCATCAGCTTATGGCAAAGACTAACACTTGCTTATATAACGGCACAGGGACTGGAAGCTCCCTGCTGTTCTGGAAAAAAGAAAACATAGTTTAGGAACATCTCCTGGAAAGGGAAAAACCTCTCCACTCCTTTTCCCCCACACAATCTGTTGCTTGATGAGTTCATATTTCAGCAGAAAGGAAGGCCTTTCAGACTCCTTTCAGAGGAGGTCTTTCCCAGCTGCTCTTCCTCAAACCTTTCTGTGATCCTGTCTCTCTGCTACAATGCAGATGGCAAAACCTCATGTTCTTTAGCACATCTACAAAGGGCTGCCCGCTAGCCAAAACTACTAAGATCTCATCTGGAAGGGGTGCCTCTTGCCTGATTAGCAAGGGAAATAGAACTGGATTCCCTAATGGACAGCTATCCCCTGCTGTGCACTTTTCATAAAGACAGAATTCTCTTCTAGAGTTTGTTACTGGACTATACCATATTTTACATACAGCCATAAGCAATCCTTAAGGAACACTTACCATCAGAATTTCACTGTAGAGGACATATTCATGTAGAATGGGAAGCAGGTTTTCTGAGAGCCCTGCCATCTTCTTCTCTGTAGCCTTGCAGCACTTGTCAATGCAGCTGGCAACACCTTTCAGGGACTCTGCTATATCTTCTTCTGATGCTGACCACAGTGTGTGGATGGGGCCGTATTCCTTCATTTCATTAAAATACTCTTAACAGGAACATATATGCATATTACTCTTTTGTTCATTAATAGATGTCTAAGTGATACTAATTGCAACCTCCTAGTTTGCTGTGAACAAAGTAAGAGACTGAGGCTAAGGTTTAAATCTGCTCAAGTGACTGAGGTAAGTAAACTGCAGTTCATTGCTTATGAATAAACTAAGCAATGAATGTCTTGTAATTAAGCAGTTCCTAGAAACCTATCAGCAAAAACGCCCCAGTCATTTCAAAAGAACACACATACTCAGGTAGACCTCAAGAATTGTATTCAAGACCCAATGACCTGAATTAGTTCATGTTGTCTTCATAGAGAGGGACAGGAGCCATAGCATCTCTGGGCAGAAGTCAGTCTGATTTGCTTCTACTGCCCTGATTCCTCTGCTACAGTAGCGCTCCAAGTCCTGTCTACTAAGCCTGTCTACTAAGCCTACTATGTCCCACAAGCTTCAGAAGACACACTGAACTTGATTCCAGTTCTGCAGGTGTTAGCTCATTTAGTAGTTTTTACTGATCTAAATACTAGGATGTCCTACAAATTCTCTTCTGTCTCTAGGGCAAGTGATAATCTGTAAGCAGACAAAAAGCCCAGAATTCACCATTGTGCCATTTGGTAGGGCCAAACTTGGGCAAGGCTGGATATGATCTGGAAGCTGCATGTTTACAGGAGGGTATTGTGAACGTGCTGGTCATGTATTGAAAACTCAATTTCATCACAACTGAAGTGATAATAAAGAAATGTCCAAGAAAATGTGCAAAGCAGCCATGTGGCATGAAGAGTGTAATGCTTACTTTGAGATTAAATGGACAACAAAAACCTCCATGAAAGATGTCATTAAGAATCCCATGTTAAGCTACTGCAAGCACGAATGTTGTCTGAATCAGTTATCACCAGTTCACATCCACAACAGTGCAGCCCTGCACACAAGTGTTCCGCCCAGTGCTATTTTGAAAATCTAGAAAGATATGATCTACAGCATTTGGGAGCATGTCAAAATTCATGAGGTTTTCCGAGAAATATTTTGGCATTGATGCCTTGATCCTATGGACCTCAACCAGTTACTTCCACTGAAATGAATGATATCAAAAGAAACAATTCCTTCTATAAGACCCTCTCCATTTTAGTGAGGACACGCTGAGGTCTGGTACTGCACAAGGGCTCAGTTCTTAAAGAACACAGTGCAGCCCTTCAAATTATATTATACAGACAATAAAATCCCTTCAAGTGCTGACCAGTGGAAGTTCTACTGAATAGGCCTAGTCTGAGATGAGGGTTAATCTCAGAAAGTCAGAAATGTAACATTCCAAAGAGGTGCAAACTGCTGTTACTTAAGGAGAAAATTGAGATTAAGCTATCCTTCTTAAGAAAACTCTAACAGAAATTACGGCCAATGGTAAAGCTATTTAAAAAACCCTAAAATCTCCTTGGTCGACACGGAAAAAGGTGCAGAATGAAACCCAGAAAAGAAATGTTTAGAGATCTGGACTCTAGACAGCATTATGCCAGTATGAGACAGCCCAGAAAACTGTGACTGTTCACATTCCACTCAAAGTACAAAACAAAAGGTCACACAGCTTTCCAAAAAGCACAAGTAAAAAATAGAGTCAAACTTGCTACATTTTCTTCTAAGTTCCTGGTCAAGTAGTTCAATGATAAGTTAAAACTCTTCCTGTTAACAAGTTACTCAAACTAATTTGAAGGGCTGCCAAAACAATAACCATTATGAAAAGCACAATAGAAACACCCATCTCTCCTTTCTCCTGCTTGCTGGGAACTTTGCCTGGCATAATGAAAACTAATTTACTTTGCCAATATACTAATTTCTTTCATCAATAAAACTGATACTTGTTTTCCACTTACCCCTTTCTTCCTTGTAAATTCTATGGGCTATTTTGTCAAGTACATTGATTTTCTGACTAAATGCTTCCATATAGCTGTTCATTTCTGTAAACATTTCAGGACGATTTTTAACTCCTCCTCCTCTCACTGAGGATGCTACAGCTCTGACGGTCTGTCCCATCCTGCTCAGCAAACCAGGACCTTGCTTCTTGTGGGAGGAGAGTTCCTAAAGACAGAACAAGTGTTTACTTCCAAGTAGTTTCTTTTAAATTCTCTAAAAATAACACATATTTTAAAGCTTTTTCTTCAAAAAAAACCCCAACAAAACTACTTAAACCTCTGCATGCGTTGTTTTATTTTAGCATAGAAATCTTTACTTTAAACTTACGAGATCAGTGTCAGAACTCTTCCTGTCACGTGCATTTATTAGCTCAGCTTTCTGAGCAAACACAAGCGTGCTGTGTTATCACTCTCTCCCAAGAACCTTTACCCTTTCACTCCTTAGGGTGAGGTAGCTGGTTTGCAATTTAGCCTTTTGACAGGCAAGCAGAGGTAATGATTGCAGGAATAAGTCATTGAGAAAAGCAAACAGTATTCCTACTGGAAGAAGTAATCCATCTCTTTGTTTTCCTTAACTCTTTTTCTGTGTTGTTAGAATAAGCTTTGCTGAAGTTCAGAGCTTTTGCTGAGTACAAACGTTCAATTTTCAACTGGATACATCATGCAAAACTACAACAGGAAATTCAAAGGCTGTATTTGAGTTTTATGAGACTAGTGTATCTCTTCTGAGAAAAGCAGATGAAAAAGACAGTGCCATGCCAAAACAAGAATTAATTTTAAATACCACTTTTCATATCATCTTGGAAGCTTATCTGTATACCAAAAAGCATGCAGAGTTGAGATATTGTGAATTTGACATAGAAATCCAAAATGGGGCAAGAAAAGCTGCTATGGAAGATACAGCAATATTTATAGCAACACAATTTGTAACAATAAATACAGTTTTTATGTACCAAAAGCACAGAAGAAAAGGTTATCTCAGGGAATGAATATTTCATAAATCCCCTGTCTTCTTCTGACACGTCTGTCACAAGCTGTGGGAGGACACTATTGAATCTACTGACACTATGAGACTCCTGATATACTCTACTAACACAAGACGTGGTTTCACACATCTGTAAATACAAAACTAAAGTCATTTTACCCAGGCCTGTGCAGTAAGAAAAATTTTGAAGTCTTCATTAAAAGTTAAAGTTGGATGATCAGCAATGCGGTTCAGGAATTTATGTAAAGCTTTCCTTCGAGTCTCAATGAATTCATCACTGAATCGTTCCACCATTCCTTTCATGATGAATTTTTCAGGCAATGGCTATGGAAAGAAGAAGAAATAGATTATACCTTTTGCATAATATCATGGGTATTATTACAGTTCTTCAACTTACTAAAAAAAACAGGTAAAAAAACCTTATAAAATCCACCATACAAACCCCAAACTGTTATAAAGTTATCATATTCAATAGTGGTGCTAAAACAACATGGCTCTTTTAGCACACAGTGCAGAAGAATACAAGTACAACTAAGAAAGAAGGGCATAAATTACTGCAAATGGCACAATTAGAACCATAATAGCTTTATGGGTATTTATGGGATACCTTTATGGGATTTTTAATTATCACATACATGTAAAACTAATAAAAAGAGGTTGAGTTTGAAACTGAAGAAAGCCCTCAAGCATCTCCATAGAACACTGAAGCCATCTTATAAACAAATACAAATAAATTAACCAATATTTTAAGCAATATTTTAACAAATAATTGAACAAACAGGAATAATCAGTGTTGGATGTGCTTCTTCAAGTTTGCTCTTCAACCAAAGGAAATCCTGGTACCGTCTTCGAACTTCATATTCACTGGAGTCAAATTCACCCCGGGATGTCTGAAAAACAGAGGCAGAAAAAACAGGCCTAGGTTAAGGTGCCAAAAAATAAAAGAAGAACAGAATAGTATTAGATTTAAAAGAAAACTGAATACTTGTGATTCTATTTTGCCTGTGCTATTTGCTTGCTGGTTCTTAAAGTTCAATGATCAACTACTTGAAGAGATAAAACACATCTCATTTGAGCAAGAAATCAAAGTTTTGTTGTAAAAAGAGTCACTTACAATATTAGCTTCCCACAGTGTTTCAAAAGATTTCAATCATTATTTTAGTGTGGTGTTTTCCTTTCAGTAATCATGGTTGTGTTCCTTACTTTTAGGGCACTTCTTTGCAAGTTATTAATAATCCACCAGTGAGGAACGTCCATTTTTTTAGCATTCCAAATAAAAGCCCCAAATAGCTGCCATACATCCTCAGGACTTGCTGACACTAGGCAACAATCCCCACATTCAAGAAATGGAAACTTCAGCATATCATAGCAGTAACACTTCCTGCACTGCTTAACGGACTCTGTGTTCCATTATCACTTCTAGTTTTGTAGACCTTTGTTAGAACTTGCCAACAAACCTTTAATGAGCAGGAAAAAATGCTTATTACAGGGTTGCAAAGTTGTCAGACCATGACATTTATTTTATCAGTGCTCTATCTTCTCAAATCAAGCCACAAAGAGCCCGTATTTTCATTAGTGTGCTGTTTAACATGCATTGTTGCACAGAGATTTATAACGCAAGGCAAGTAAATTCAACAAACCTCCAAACATGCTTTTGTACTCGACATTTTTGAGGGTTGAATAAGAATTCTTTGAGGTATGTGGGAGGAATGCTATTACTTTATCATCAACAACCAGCACTTCAAATTAAATATGATAAGAAAGGATAGAAGAGATAAAAAAGCAAAAGCAATCCACCTTACAGCCCTGCCATATTTGCCTGAAGAGAAAATGTTCTCTCGTCTCCAAAAGCATGCATAAAGCAAAAATGATTGCTAGCAATCTCCTGAAGATAGCTCTCTTCCTACTCTTTAAACATTTCATGAAGAATTGATATCTCCTCATATTTAAGGATGAGTAATTCCCATTTGGAAATTCGGGTTTAAATGAATCTTTTCAAAGGAACGCAAAGTAAAATAAATGAACAGTGCAAGCCTCAACATGCAGCCTGCAGAATATTTGCTGGTAATCCCAGAAGAAACCAGCTGGTCTCACAAGGCTGACTTTCTTCCTTCTTTCTCATCAATAATTTGCATTCAGGACAGCTAAAAATATACCTGGTTGTTTCCTAAGATTTACTTTTACATTGCACAATTATGGCAACTTCCCCAGAAATCATATGCAACTGTCAATGGGAAACAAACATTCATGTGATAGCGGACACTGCAATTAGAAAGGAACTGAATTAAAAGACATTGTAGCTGGTCACATTTAAGCAAGACAAAGGTCACAAATACTTGGGCTAATATTCTGCTTCAAACGGAATCAGTCCTGCTGCTGTTTCATATTCCTGCTGAAGCAGAATATGTTATTCTCACACAGAACTGATGTTGCTCTGGAAGAATTAGTAGCTATTTTCATAGACTCACAGAATGATAGAATGGTTTAGGTTGGAAGGGACCTTAAGATCATACAGTTCCACCACCCCCCCCCACCACAGGCAGGGACATAAAGAACTTAAGCACTGATGTATGTAGACTTACACTGAGTTTTTTCCAGAACCTACTGCAGAGTTTCAGACAGTTTTAGTGGTCTGTAACTCATGGCAAAACCAGAGTATAATTTAAACTTAACAATATTGCAGAGAATGGTAAGAAGAGGAGTGAAAATGCTCCTACTGTTAGCAGTGTATACCGTTACAGCCACGAATAGGTTCTTACCTTTGTGACTACCCTGTAAGTAATAAATGTTTCGATGGCTGTAATGTGGCTTTCAGGATCATCGACTGTAATGAAGAGATCTCTTAATTCTGGTTCATCTTCCAATTTATACTGGTTTATCATTGATGAGGGGGATATTGGCACTGAAGAACTGAATGAGTTTACCTCAGCCAGTGATGTATCCTACAGATAAAACAGAACATCCTTTTCAATACATCTTTGTATACAGACACACACATACAAACACATATGTCCCAGATGCCAAAATGGCAAGCTTTTAAATAATCAAATAAACCATGTAAAATGTAGAGCAGATGGAAGACTTCTATAGTACATGGCAAATCCATTCTCCTTTTCAGTATTTGCTGCAGTGTGGAGGTAAGAAATGAGATTTATTCTAAAACTGATGAAAAAGCAAAATGCCACCATTGAGAAGAATGTGAAGCATAGCTAAGAAAGAGAACTCACCACTGCGTAGGAAAATCAGTTATGAATCCACGCACCCAGTAGGATACTTACCAGCTTGATTAAAATTGGTAGAAGCCAGTTATTCAA